TTCACCTCCTCACCAGCGTCGCTAGGTTTTTTTCTTCGTCCCTTTCCCTCGACAGGCTTCTCCAGGCCCTGTCGAGGGTCTTCCTCTCGACACCCAGCCTCCTTGCTGGTTGGGTGCCATTCGACTGCATCTCTAAGGGTCGTCGGTGTTGCTGGGCATTACGTAAGGGTTGTTTAGCATCGTCTCTTGGCCCTGTTCTCCTTACTTATGTATTACGTCTTAAAAAAAAAAAAAAAAAAAAAAGAAAGAAAGTAAAATTATTCTTTTTTAATTATTTCATATTCTTTGTGGTCATTGTGCTTGTATCCCTCTATCATCTTCCGGGTTTGTGATTAGTGCTAGTTTTTTGTTGTGGGTTGGGTAGTAGTGTCTCCATGGTAGATTCCACCAATGTGTCCACTACTTCTCGGACACCTAGGAGTGAGAGTTGTATTATACCTACTACTATAACTGATAATCCCAACCCTAGTCTTAAAATCACCACCTCTCTATTCAATGGTCAGAACTATCTAACGTGGTCGCAGAGTTTGACTATTTTTCTGAAGAGCAGAGGGAAGATGGGGTATATCGATGGCAAGATACCGGCACCCAGCACTGTGGACCCGAGTTATGATCAGTGGGAGGTCACCAACTCCCTCATCATGGGTTGGTTGATCCACTCTATGGTCCCTGAGATTGGAGAGGGCTACTTGTCTATGGACACTGCCCAGGATATTTGGGAGGTTGTAGCTACTACTTACTCCCGAAAGGGAGACTTCTCTCAGACTTTTGAGTTACGTCGTTCCATTGAAAGGTCGGTACAAAGTGAGATGACTATCCTTCAGTATTTTACCTTCCTTAGCAATGGGTGGAAGCGACTTGATCACCTTCAGGATTACAAACCTGTCTGTCCCATTGATTCTGTTGGTTACCGAAAGTTTGTGGCACAAGAGCGGGTTTTCAAGTTCTTGGAAGGCCTAAATATGGAGTATGATCCGGTTCGGAGCAGGGTACTGGGCATGGATGTACTTCTTTCTCTCCAGGAAGCCTTTGCTTTTGTGCAGAATGAGGAGAGTCGTTGCTCTGCGATGCTTCCTTCTACTACTACTGATCGCTCGGCCTTGGTTTCTGCACCTCCTTGCGATGGCGACCGTGTGACTCCTAGTTCTCGTCCTTTCTCTGAGAAGGATAATCTTTACTGTGATTATTGTCGTAGACCTCGCCACACATGAGAGACTTGTTGAAAGCTGCATGGCAACCCCTCTAGTGGTCGAGGAGACCGTCCTGGTATTCGAGGAGGTCGGTCTGGTCAGTCTAAAGGCTGAGGGGCCAATACACGGGCACATCTTTCAGACACTGTTGAGCCATTATCTTCATCTCCGGTTGTTTCTCCTGCTGTTGATGTTTCAGGGTTATCTGCCTCGGATTTTGAGATTGCTCTTCGCCACTTGCTAGATCGTCGAGCCTCCACTTCTGCTACAGGTGCATCCTCTTCTTCCTTTGCCAATTCAGGTAACTTGGCTTCCTTCCCATATGCATTGCTCTCTCATATGACTGTCCCATGGATTATTGATTCTGGTGCTTCCGACCATATGTCTGGCTCTTCTAATTTATTTTCAGAGTATAACCCCTCCTCAGGTTAGGAAAAAGTGCGTATTGCAGATGGTACCATTTTGTCTGTGTCAGGGAAAGATCTAATTCATGCCACCTCTTCCCTTCCTTTGTCTTCTATTCTCCATGTTCCCAATTTCAGTGTTAATCTTTTATCTTTGAGTCGTATTACTTGTGATTTAAATTGTAGCGTGACATTTTTTCCTGATCATTGTCTTTTTCAGGACCTTATCACGAGGAAGAGGATTGGCAGTGGTAGAGAGGAACATGGGCTCTACATTCTGGATTAGTCTGACAAGCTGGCTCATTCATTTGTTCAGTTACCGTCTACCAAGGAAGACATTTGGCTATGGCACCGTCGCTTAGGACATCACTCTTTTTTATTACTTAAGCATTTATTTCCCTCTGTTTTTAAGCAAAATAATGTGTCCGATTTTCAATGTGAGTCTTGTCAACTTGGCAAACAACACAGAGTCTCTTTTGCTCCTTCTATTAATAAAAGTTTAGTTTCGTTTTCTTTGATTCATTCTGATGTATGGGGTCCTTCCCGTTTTGTGTCTTTAACCGGTCACAAATGGTTTGTTACCTTCATAGATGATTGTTCCAGGGCCACTTGGGTCTATTTGATGAAAGATAAAAGTGAGGTTTTTTCTGTGTTTCAAAACTTCCATAAAATGGTTTGTACTCAGTTTGGGGCGTTTGTCAAAATTCTACGTTTTGATAATGGGGGGAATATATTAACTCTGGTCTTGCCACGTACTTTTCCACTCATGGCATTATTTACCAGACTTCGTGCACTAATACCCCTCAACAAAATGGTGTTGCAGAACACAAAAATCGCCATCTCCTTGATGTCGCCCGTTGTCTATCCTTTGAGATGAGGGTTCCTTGATTCTATTGGGGGGAAGCGATTCTCACTGCCGCTCATTTGATTAATCGTCTTCCTACTCAGGTTCTTCACAAACAAACACCTCTCCAAGTTTTGTTCGGGTCTACCTCTTCTGGGTTCTCTTTTTCTCTTAAGACCTTTGGCTGTGTTTGCTTTGTCCATAATCATTCACCCACGCGTGGTAAATTAGATCCTCGGTCTCTTAAGTGTGTCTTCTTGGGTTATTCTGCCACCGAAAAGGGTTATAAGTGTTATCATCCTCCCACTCGCAAATGGTTTGTCTCAATGGATGTCATTTTCTTTGGGTCTCAACCTTATTTTCCGACCTCTCCGGTATCACAGTCCTCCCTTTAGGGGGAGCTTTGGTGTGAAGAGATTCCTGTTCCACTTCCAGCAGGTGGTGGGGAAACGGATCCATACAAAGTTTATATCAGGGACAAGGACAGACAACAAGTCACCTGGATGCAAGAGCCTACTTTCCCGTCTCTACTGCCAACTTCTTCTCCGGATGAGTGTCCAAAGTCAACCCCCTCTCCTGAGAGTCCAGGTAATTCTGATTCTAGTACTTCTATTCCTGATTTTTCAGATCTTGATGTTCCCATTGCTAATAGGAAGGGGGTTAGGTCATGTACTCAGCATCCTATTACTAATCATGTCTCTTATTCTAATCTATCTTTGTCATATAAAGCCTTTCTATCTAAAGTGTCTTCTGTGAGTCTACCTACCAGTTTTTAGGATGCTCTCTCTATTCCTAAATGGAAGCATGCCATGATGGAAGAGATGAGAGCTCTCAGCAAAAGTGGCACTTGGGAGTTAGTAGAGTTACCTAGAGGCAAACATCCAGTTAGGTGTAAGTGGGTGTACACGGTAAAACACAAAGCAGATAGTTCTATAGAACGGTACAAAGCAAGATTGGTTGCTAAGGGTTTCACTCAGACTTATGGGGTAGATTACCAGGTGACGTTTGCACCGGTTGCTAAGATGAACTCTGTGAGAATCTTACTCTCTCTTGCTGTAAATTTGGATTGGCCACTTCATCAGTTTGATGTCAAGAATGCCTTCCCTCATGGAGACCTAGCAGAAGAGGTCTATATAGATATTCTTCCTTGTTTTACGGATGCTAAGTCCAAAGGAAAAGTATGCAGGCTTCGAAAGTCACTTTACGGACTAAAGCAGTCTCCTAGGGCTTGGTTTGAAAGGTTTGCTCAAGTTATGCTGAAATATGGGTTCAAGCAGAGTCAAGCTGATCACACCTTGTTTGTGAAACACTCCTTACAAAGCAAGATTACAGCTCTTATTGTTTATGTTGATGATATTGTTTTGACAGGGGATGATGTTGAGGAGATCCCTCGGTTGAAGGAATACTTAGCCAAGGAATTTGAAATCAAAGATTTGGGTAGTTTAAAGTATTTCTTGGGTATTGAAGTTGCTAGGAGCAAGGATGACATCTTCATATGTCAGAGAAAGTATGTACTTGACTTGCTAAAAGAAACTGGACTGCTTGGAGGTAGACCATGCGATACACCTCTAGAACCAGGCCAGAAACTAAGTGAGGATCAAGAGGGAACACCAGTGGACAAGGGCAGATACCAATGACTAGTGGGCAAGCTCATATACTTATCCCATTCACGACCAGACATTGCCATTGCTGTGAGCATGGTTAGCCAGTTTATGCATGCTCCTAGATCTTCCCACTTAGAGGCAGTTATGAGAATCCTGAGATGCCTGAAGTCTTCTCTTGGAAAGGGTCTCTATTTCTCAAAACATGACTATCTTAGTGTGGAGGCATTTACTGATGCAGATTGGGCTGGATCAGTCATTGACAGACGATCAACTTCCGGATATTGCACATTTGTTGGTGGCAACCTAGTCACATTGCGAAGTAAGAAACAAAATGTGGTTGCTAGATCTAGTGTTGAGGCAAAATTCAGGTCTATGGTTCAGGGTGTGTGTGAGTTGCTATGGATTAAATTATTGTTAGGTGATTTGGGGATCTATTGGACCGACTCCATGAAACTATACTGTGACAACAAGGCAGTAATCATCATAGCTCATAATCCAGTTCAACATGATAGAACTAAGCATGTGGAGATTGATAGGCACTTCATCAAAGAAAAACTCACTAATGGTACCATATGTATTCCATTTGTGAAAACTGGGGACCAACTAGCGGATGTTCTCACCAAGGGACTAAGGAGCAAACCATTTCATGGCATTCTCAACAAGCTGGGCATGAGAGATATTTTTGCACCAGCTTGAGGGGGAGTGTTAGAATAGGGAATAATATTTAATATTAGTTGCATTTTATTCTTATTTTACTTTCTTGATTGATGTAATGGGCTGACCCATAAATTATGCCTTATGGCACTCCTGTAATTACTTATTATTATCAATATAAAAGGGGATGAGGTCTAACTCAATCCCTATCTCTTTCTCTTCTCTAAACCTACATGTATATATATATATATATATGTTTGTTTTTGGTAGACATTCTTCATTATATATTGTTGCCTAAATGCAGATGCATGCATTGAGAAGGGAGTTGAGTGAAGGCATTCGTCCTCTCCATGAAACATTTGTTGCGTTGATTCGTTTGTTTGGTTCTAAAGGCTGTGCTACAAGAGGCTTAGAAATCCTTGCAGCAATGGAAAAGCTGCATTTTGACATTCGCCAAGCTTGGTTGGTTCTTGTTGGTACAGTGTTCCATCAACCCCCTCCCTTGATTTATCTATTTTTGATGCATGTGATTTATTTCTTTCTTGCACTTTTGTCATTTAATCTAAGTCAGTATTCTTGCTGTAACCAGAGGAACTTATCAGAAGCAATCATCTGGAAGATGCCAACAAAGTGTTCCTGAAGGGTGCTGAGGGTGGACTGCGAGCTACCAATGAACTTTATGATCTTTTAATTGAGGAGGACTGTAGAGTTGGGGATCACTCGAATGCATTAACCATCGCCTATGAAATGGAGGCGGCTGGGCGGATGGCAACTACTTTCCATTTCAATTGTCTTCTTAGTGTGCAGGTAAGTCTGTTGCAGTCAATTGCTTGTGCTGGAAAGTTATTTTTTGGCCTTCATTCACTTGTTGATTTAACTTTTTCTTCAAATCAGTTGGTACTCCAAGTCGCTGGCTAGTTTAAAAAATATTAGTTATAGATATTCCTGGAAAATATTGTTGGTGTGTTGAAGGTTAATATTAATCAAAGATTTAACTCCTTTGGAATTAATATACTGACTGATAGAATTGAAAATGGTGATCTGCTGGCACAGTGGATCAAATCAAATTGAGGCATATAAGGTATGCTTTCTATGATACAACGGCCTAGAGATTCTGATAATAGGTTTGCCCATGGGCAAACACTGCTGAGAAATGTAGTAGCTTCAAGAGAAAATAGATCACTGAAGATGGGAGATAGAGGCATATGTAATACTTTTATTATGACTCCTATCAATGTCTCTAACATATATGACTTAACTAACTATGCGCAGGCACCCCCCCTATTTGATGCAATCAATAGAAGTCATGAGGAAAAAAAAAAAAAAGAATTGAAAGAAGTGGGAAAAATTGAGAATATGTCGATTTCAAGGCAACACCAACTTCAACCTTGCAGATCGAACTTTAGTTCTTGTAGAGCTTTGGGCCTTCCATTTCATGATGTTCTAGTGTTGTACAAACTACATATTTTTCTGTTCAATTTGTTTTTAATGTCTTCCAAAATATGTAGTGCATTGAACTCAACAGTCTGATAGTTTGCTATTTATATTGCGTTATTCTTGTCAAAATAAAAAGATATATGTATATGAGGTTGCGCCAGTATCAACTATGTATACTATTTAAAAATAATCTGTCCAACAATATCTCCTAGTTGTCAGAAGGAATTAGGTTGCGCCAATATCAACTATGCATAGTACACGAGAGCTTTTGTGGAGTGCATCTGGCATCTGCTAAGGAATTCTCAACTTTTCTTTATTTTAAGTTTTAACAACATATTGTCTTCTCTTCTTTTGGTAGGCTACTTGTGGAATACCTGAAATCGCTTTTGCAACATTTGAGAATATGGAATATGGAGAAGGTGTACAACTTTTTCTTCCCTTCGTGCTTGCACATTAGCCTTTTCTGTTTGTGATGCTACAGCTTTTATGCATTGCAGAACAATTATAAAATTTTGAAAATCTTGGGAGACCCATGAATTTTCTTTTTTTGAATTGTTGGAAGTGTGTGAAAGAGAAATCCAAAAGAATGTGCACAGTACAATTTGGGGCACTTTATTTGCTTTCCTATGTGTTCAACCAAATATTTAATCATAGTTTGATGATAAGAAAACACTTGGATTTTCATTACATGCGTAGAACCTGTCTCAAGTCTCAACACTTTAGAATGTTGGTCCCAATGATGCTGCCAAGGATATCTGCAAGGTCAAAATCAATATCCCCTCGAACAAATATTTTTTATTTTTACTTGATGGTATTACTATCATTGGAAACACTGGATTGCCTTAAAATATATAGGTATTCTTATGTTCAACATTGAGCAAAGTGGAGCTCTAAACTTTCTGAATTATCTGTAAGTTGTTTGTATTTCGTCTCAGTGGTACTTCTCAACGCATGAAACTAATTTGCTGCTTTAGAGGCATGTTTTTGTGTACTATTTCCCAAGTTAAGTGTCCAGTGTACACATCAACTCAAGTTATTCCATTCATGTAAATTTTGGGTCGTCCGCAAGTAGTGGTTTGCAGTCCAACCTAATTGTTCGAGTCTGGTTCGTGCTGTTATTAATATAATGTTGTCAAGATGCCTAGTTGAGAGCAAGTGATAACCTTTCTAGTGGTCTATGAGCTGCTTGATGTACATATCATAATATATATATATATATATGTTGCTCACTGTTGCTGTGTTGACAATAATATAGACTTTGCAGAATTAAAAGAATATAAAGTCGTCTATATACTTCCATTGTCAACCAGACTCAACACTGCCATTGGATCACAAACATTTTCCAAGTCCCAGTTTGGATCATATAGAGCCCAATCCTGCTCATTTATACTTCTCAAAAACCTAGAAGTTTGCTGACTCTCTTCCTTGTTGGAATCAACTATGATAGTGCCCACTGTATAGATACCACCCCAGCCTTCATTCCCATCTGAACCCCCTTCTTCATCAGCCTCAAACATAACACCCTGCTTCAACTCCACATCCAACAACCCCTCATGAGCCCCCTGCCCCTGGTTTTATTGAATCCTAACCGAACACTATCGCACCTCAAGGACTTCGTCACTAGGAATGACTGAATGACTTCCAACACTGGAAAAGAGAAAAAGTAACTTTAGGCCAATCCCCAAAAAACAAGAACATGCCTTTGTTTGAACATTTAGTCTTAGTTACATCTCGTGTCACCCCCCACCTTGTTACATGGATGTTGTGACATTATCTCCTTTCTTTATCGATTGTCTGTGATTTCAAGACACCAATGATTTCAACCTCACCAACCCTCGTACTCCTCATCATCTCATGCAACATTATCTCCTTTCTCCGATTACTGGAGGATACTAATGAAATTATTCAAGTGGACATAAGTGTACCGAGTTTGGATCGCCAATGATGATCATTGCACAAAGACTAAGCATTGTTAGGAGAAGGTCATTTCAAGGATGGGAATAAAAAGATTATGGGGAGTCAATGAGGACTATCATCGAAGGACTGAAAATCACTTATTAAGGAAGGAAATCTAGAAAGTATGGAAATAAATCAAGCTATATTGAGAGGTCAAAGAAATTTGAATTCTTTCTTTTATTTATTTACTTCTACACTTCAAATTATTTCTATATTTAGTTCTGTGCGGGGAGCAAATATTCAGGCAAGCCCGCACTCCTTTCTTCCAAGCTCCGTTTCTGTTCGATCACCTGCGTGCACAACAGCAGTGAGCTACCCAACGGTGTGTGGCCGGAAAACTCCTCCGACGATCAAGTCAGGCACACACACAGGGATAGAGAGAGAGAGAGAGAGAACTGAGTTGAGTGTAAGTATTTCTCTTACCAAATGTTCGTGTGTCCAGCATGGGGGGCGCAGACTTGCTTATATACCTTCTCCCCAAATCTACTCCTAGTGATCTCTCGACACGTGGTTCTGTTATCCTATCTGTCAGCACAAATCTTGCTGAACATCGCCTAACCCGACTGCCAGCCCACTCTACTGGGAGCTCGGCAGCCGGGCTGAATCTTCTCGGCTGTCAACGGCCATGCTGCGTTTCATGCCCAATTGCTCCAACTGAGATCCTTTCCAGCCATGCTCAGCAGCATTCCGGCGAAGCCGATCTTGAGATTGGTCGTACCGGTCAATCCAAGGCCTTCTAGCTGGGCTTCTGGCACAAGCTTCTCGGCCGGGCTAACGGTGCGTGCCTTTGACCGAGCAACGCAAGTTGCACGGTTATCACCTGCACAGATCCAAGTAGCTCGGTCCATCTTTGAGCAGCCCCAACTCCGGGCAAATCCAAAGTTATTGCGGCCCAACGCACCATTGGGCCTCCAATTTGCTCGGCCTCTAACTCGGCCCATATCCGGCTCATAATTCTCCCTCTCAAGTTCTGATGTCTATACTAACTAATTGTTTGGTAAGTTGTATCCTATCTAGTAGAATATGATTTAGTTAATCGTCAAGGTATCAAAGCAGATGATTTGTTTGTGCTAGAGTTTCTCCAGTAAACTCCCCCAGTAAACTCCCCTTCAGTGGCCTGTGGCTCTTGTTCTTGCTCATTGATCTTCAACTTGTTTTCTTAGGTTTCATTTTTCAACTTTTTTTGAATTCTCAATGTAGTTTGATTCCGTTCTATATTCTCGTGTTTTTCTTCCTTACTAATCATGCCTGGTCTTTCGTTGATTTCAAAGGACAAATGTGGTACGTGAGAGAGAGTTAGAACATATTTCATATTTATATATATATGTATGTATTTCTTTTCTACTATGAATATCTTTATCATGGAGACGTTTTCCCCCTCTCAAATTTCCCTTTTAACCAAGTTTTGCTCTTTTAATGTCTTAGAGTTATTCAATATTCTTAAATAAGCTTAGTCAACTTTAGGTAGCCTTCCCAAATGGAATTGAGTCTTTCGTTCTTTCTGCAATATCATGGAATTCTTCAATCTTCCTAAAGAAATTAGATAGTTGTGGATAAATTGTTACACATTAGGAGTACTTATTAATGATTGATCAAATTTGATAGATTCCCTCTCTGAAACATGAAGTTCTGGTCTTGGGAGGGATAATATCCTATGTTACACGGACTCTTTGGAATTTCGAAGGTGGGACACGACACGACACGGGTACAGGTGCGGGATACGGCTCCTTAGAAATGGATACGGCAGAAGAATCGAAAGAGGAGAGAGCAAGGAGAGAACCTGGCCTTCGACTTCAATCTGACTTGGTTGCAGAGCATTGATCGATCTGCGAAGTCGATCTACTATGCTCCTTCATCTTCCCCTTTGATCTCGATCTCGATCTCGATCTCGATCTCGATCGTCTCTTCGTCACTCTCTCTCTCTCTGTGTCTCTTTTTTCTTTTTTGATCAGTCTCTCTCTGTCTCTTCTTTTTAATATAATTTGAATTATATATAATATATAATATAAACTATATTAATATAATATTATTCATATTATATAATATTATTTATTCAAAAAAATATTATATAATATATTATATCATAAATAACATAACTTTTATGTCTAAAATTAAAATAATTTATTTTATCATATATAATATAATTTATTTTAAGTCTAAATTAATGTTTATAATTTTTATTTATTATTTATTTGTTTTTTTTTTTTAATAAAATTTGTTATTCCTTAAACTTTTTAAACTCATCTTCATATAATAAATATATTTAAAAATAACTATTTAACGTATTCCCGTACCCGTATCCTCATTTGGATCCATATCCACGTATCCTTAATTTTTAATTTTAAAGTGTCCAACCTTAGATACGCACCCGTATCCCATACCCGCACCCGAGTCCGTGTAACGTAGATAATATCAACCACTTGATGTCCATCCAATGCATCTGTCATGGTTATTATGTATACCCCCTTTTCTTTTCGTATGATTTTGCATACCATGTCTGTTGCTGTGGCATTATAAATTGTATTTGTCACTCTTGCTCTCATTGGGATAAATCTAACCCCTTGCCTTGTTTCTGCCTACATGTATAGGATATTTTAAGAAGTGAATGTAAAGATTATGGAAGGGGATTGTATTTCACTATATTTTTGACTAGGAAAAGAGCCTATTGAAAGAACATATTTTAATTTGGGTGATACTCAGAAAAGACAGATTGTTATATATATATATTATCTTGGGAGATATGCGATCAAGAGGGGCTAATTTAAAACGTCAAGTAAAATGATACGCTTCCTCTTACCCTGACTCCGGCGACGCCTCTCCTCCGTCGCGTGACATCGATTTCGACACCACGCAGCCGTGGGAAGACCAACCGCCACCTGCGGCAGGCACCTACATAGCCAAGTTCATGTGCAGTTTCGGGGGCAAAATCCACCCTAGACCTCACGACAACCAGTTATCTTACATCGGCGGCGACACCAAGATCTTGGCCGTCGATTGCAACATCAAATTCTCTGGCCTCATCGCCAACCTCTCCGCCTCCATCTGCAACGGCGAAGACTTAGGCCCCTTCGTCCGCAAAGCCTTCGCCTCCGGCGAGCCCGAGACTCTCCTCCACCATCGCCGCCTTGTCTCCGATCAGATCCGATCTCTAAACTCAGTTCCAAAAATGAACGACGCAGATGTCTCCAAGCAGATCCAGCAGATGGTCAGATTCATCCGCCAAGAAGCCGCAGAGACAGCCAACGAGATCTCCGTCTCCGTAGAAGAAGATCCGCCAAGAGTACGAGCGTAAATGGCTTGGAAAATTTCCAAATGGCCAAAGGCATCTGGAACACACAGATCCAGTCGTTGTTGCTGAAGATGGGAAGATCAAACTGTTCCCTGTGATATTGTTACCTAAAGAGAAACTCGTTGATACCAACGGAGCAGGGAGGAGGTTTGAATTGGGTGAGATCCGGCGGGCGGTCAAGGCAAGGTTGCCGCCCGCCGGAAGGCGAAGAACACCAAGATCTTTAACCTTGCTCTGATACCATGTAAAAATTTATGTAATTTATGTATTATTGATAGATGAATTGTTTTATCTACTGTCTATTACAAATGGTTCCTTATATAGATGTAGGTGTAGTGGATGGTGGTAGTGGTGTAGTGGGTTAGGTTTAGTGGAGTAGGTGAGGTGGTAGTGGTGTAGTGGGTTAGGTTTAGTGGAGTAGGTGAGGTGGTAGTGGTGGTAGGTGATGGTAAATTCTAACATCAAATACAATATTAGGAAGTACCACTTGTGGTACCTCAATATCCACGGGCTTGTCAGATGTCATCTTTTTTAGGCAACCCTCAATGATGCAATTGCATAATGTTGCAAATTTGTTGCACTACGGGGTTGCCTTGTCGTGTTGTCTAAATACCCAATGCTTTACCTTAAGAACGATACACATGTTGAGTTGATAGTGGGTACTCTCATCCTTTTTTTTTTTTTTTGGTGTCGCTTACTGATTTTATCAATTTGGCTTCGGTTTAGACCCTGTTCATGTATAACTAAAATCTTGAAATCTAGTTAGTTAGAAATTAATATGAGAAATCAGTAGTAGACAGTGGCAGAGTTGTTTGGTATGCCACAATTTTCAAAATAATTATAGTCGCTTTTGTGGATTCAGATTTGCTGTTTGTTTTGGCTATATTAACTTATGTTCTGTCTCCATCTTGTCATAACTGAAGTTGTTAAAGTTCCTTTGTTACTTATTATAAGCTTTGGATGGCAGATCATATGAAGCCAGACACAGAGACATATAATTGGGTGATCCAAGCATATACAAGAGCTGAGTCCTATGATAGGTGAATTCTGAAGAACATCCTTGGCTACAACACAATTCACTTTGCTTGTTTTTGGTTTTCCAAAAACACTTTTTAGAAAATTCTGCTTCCTTGTTTTCCCTGTTTTTTTGTTTTTACTGAATTTTTTTAATATTTTAAGTAATTTTTTTAATTTTTAGACACACCTAACATAAATACACATAAAAAGTATAATTTTGTGAAAAATCTTTTAAAAATTCACTAAATACCAAAAATACAAAAAAAAAATAATAATAAATAAAATACGAGAATTCAGTATATTTTTCGTATTTTTATGTATTTATTAATTTTTTAAAATAATTTTTCATAATTTTTTTACTTTTTAGATACATCTAAGTAAGGTGCATCTAAAAAAGTAAAAAAAATGTTTAAAATTTTAAAAATATTCACTAAAAACAAAAAAATATGAAAAACAAAAAATTTAGTTTTCAAAAAACTTAATTCAAAAAACTCAAACCAAACACACATTGTTTTCTTGATGACTATATTTCAGAAACTTAGGCAGTTTGTTCGGGTAGTCCCTATTGTGATTTGATAGTCTGAGTTGACCATTTGACCAAAACACTGTTGTCATTAGTTCAAACAATCTGGAAATACATTAATTATTCTGATTTAGCTGTGAGTATATTTTATGGTCTCACTAATGGCCTAAGTGAGTCTATCAATTAATACGCTCCGTTGTTTAGCTTTGTGATTTTCATTAGTAATATTCTCCAAGATGACTACATAATAGACTAAGATGGTTTGGTCATGTTCAACAAAGACTTGTAGATGCAACAATAAGGAAGAGTGATGTGATCACCATAAATGGAAATCTTAAGGGGATGGGAAGACCTAAATTGACATGGTGTATAATAAAAAAAATATATGAATTTATTTAATTTAATTGAGCATATAGCCCTTGACAGAGTAGAATGGTGCAAAAAAAGATTTATGTAGTCAAACCTACTTGAGTGGGACACAAGGCCTAGTTTGGTTTGGTATATTTGTTCTAATAGTAATAGCATAACCTATTGATGAAGTAGCTTCGTTCCTTGTACAGGAGCACACAATTTCTGTAAGGAGTACATGAATAGTCCACAAACTGAGAAGTATGTAATAATGGGACAAGAATATGGGTTCTTAGAGCAATTCCAACGGTGAGCTATTAGAGCTGCTATTGCTATAATGTAGTAGGTGTGGGAAAATATGGTGCTCCAATGGGCTGCTATTGGAGTTGCTAAAAATAACAATTGATATATCTTGTGTCAAATTTGGCTCGAGTTCTACCTATAGCTAAAGAACTCATCAACAGAATTTTGCAAGCTCGCCTGTCATCCGGTTGATGTTGGTCCAGTGTTGGTTAAGTTAAAAAATAGCAATTTCACTGTTGGAGCAACATTGCAATCCTATAACTTTTTTGCATTGTTCATTGTTAAATTATAGCTTTAGCTATTCATTTTACCAATTCACTGTTGGAGATGCTCTTAGGCTCTATGAAAATGTGTGAAAATGTGGATTGAAATTGGTGAAGAATTAAATTAGAAATAGGAGCCTCATATCCTTCTTTTTTGCAAGCCCTACACCTACTATAAGATATTATTATTAACTAACATCAATCTATAGTTGCTAACTATGTTACATGGACACTTTTGTTTCCACCAAAGTACCAACGTCCACCGAATATTATAGGGGTGTGAGCGTCGGATATGTGTTTGACACCCTACCGAAATTTAGAATATTGGATCCTCTAATTTTTTAAGTCGTTAGAAGAAAACAAAACTCACATTTACTAGTAAAGAAATGTCAAATCTCTCACATGAATGAGAGATAGAAATTTAATATTTTCCTTCGTCATATTTAATTTCAAGTACATTTTTATATAATATATAACATTTTATGTACAAATATTATTCAATATGCGACATATGTAAGTGTCCATGACATGTCCCATACCCTTGTTCCACTTATGGATACATATCCCAAATCCTAGGATTTAAGTTTATGAAGATCCGACAATTGCACTTTCACCCGATACTTGTACTTGAGTCCATCTAACATAGGTTGCTAGACATAAACCTCTAAGATTGTGTGGGGTTGTTGATAAATAAATAAAAAAAACCTCTAAGATTGTGTGGGGTTTTGGTCTACTTGATTTGGCCCAACATTCATTGCCCCAAGAAAATTGTGAATTTGCATGTATTCTATTAGGAAAGCTAATAGTTGTCGATGAGAACTAATTTTTCTCAATATTTTGGGCTGATCTGTAGCAATGATTTTGGTCATGGATGGACAGTTACCTTATCTACGTTGCAAGTGTTAGCTTTTTCCTTGCTAAATGTTAACAAATTCTATCCTGGTTTTTGTGACATTTTGTTATATTATTTGATTAATTTATGATTTGTCAAGCATTTCTAATTTTAAGTTATCCTTGTTGTATAACATGTTTTCTTCTGGGGCTTGCATGTGACATATAGGGTACAAGATGTTGCTGAGTTACTTGGCATGATGATTGAACATCACAAACGTTTGCAACCTAATGCCAACACCTATGCGTAAGTAGAATTTTTTCCATCACAACTAATATAATAAAATCTGTTTCGTTAATATTTGTTGTGGTATTGTTATTGATTGAGCTTGTTGTGAGTAATCTCTCTCTCTCTCTCTCTATGGTCATTACAGGCTTTCATGAATGGAATACATGCTGTGGCACTTTTAAAAAAAAAAAAAATGAATCAAGGCCAATGTCTTGCTCAATAACTATATCCATTGAATATATGTGTGATTAGAAAACATTGGTTTTGACTTCTAGCTTTTATGTCATTATGCCTTCTTTTGCAGACTGTTAGTGGAATGCTTTACCAAGTATTGTGTAGTACGAGAAGCTATTCGGCATTTTCGCGGCCTAAAAAACTTTGAAGGGGGAACAAAAGTTTTACATAATGATGGGAAATATGGGGATCCACTTTCATTGTATCTTCGGGCATTATGTCGAGAAGGTATGGACAAATATTTTATTATTATGTTTTTTATGTTAATCAAAGGAATGATCTCATTGTCTTTAGAACCTCTTTCTTCCTAATATTTTTAACTTTTGATTTTTTTTTTTTTAAAGCTTCTTAGACATTCAGCCCAAAGTTTGACCAATGATATATTTCTCTAGTTCAGTCATGGGGGCCTGGAAGTTGAGAAGGTCATTTATACTAGTGAAGAAAGTTTTGACATATTACATGTATCTCCATAACTTGTGCTTAAATGTAGCGGGATCTAAAAGTTGATATTTGAACTTGTTTATAAGGATTAAGCTTCTACATCATATCTTTTTTTTTTTCCCCTTTTCTCTAATAGGTATTGAATTTTATCTTTTGATATGAAGTTTATTTCATTTGGATTAAATAATGCCAAACAGAAGCTTGTCTCATGAACACTTTGAAGCCTCAAATCTCCAATGCAAGATTGATCTTTGATATATTGTTCATTATCCTAATTGAAGATTATATGTGCACACACTTAGGATGCATTTAATTGTGTATATTTGATAAATCTATTTTAGATGAAAATGGAACTTACCTTTTTGATTAGCTGAAATGTATCTTATATAAGGTCACGTCACATGCATTAAAATCACTGTGATATTTATTTTGTTTATCAGGAACGTCAACCTTATAATCTGGCAAAACCTTTGGTTGAACTATTATAGATTCTGTAGAAGATCTTCAAAATTAAACATGATGAATTCAACAATGAAAAAGTTGCACCTACTTTTCAGATTTTACCAGTACTATCATTAAACTATTTTCACGACCTTGTGTTTAATCAATTTTTTTTGTTTAATGTATTTCTGCCTTAGTTTTCATTTACGAGAAATCCTGGAAAGTTGCCAAGATACTTGTGGCATTGAGAAGAACTGTAGAAGGGTACAGTAATGGGGATTATGAACTCTTTCTTTTCAGTAATTTTGGAGAGAATATCTAACTCATTGCTGATTTCAGGTTGTTTAGTTTCTTTAGTAATTTGTTTTGTATAGTGCATTGCTAAAAGTTCTAGCTGATTGATCTACTCTTCCAAAGATGATTGGTCCCCCACCATTGGTATTTGATTAGGCATAGTTTTCAGTTGCTAATTGCAATGAAATGGCAAATATCTGCAGTAACTCTAGAAAGCAATGTTTCATTACAATCTAGATTTGTGAGGTTGATATGGAAACATTTGAACCAATGCATCCTTTGGTACATTGGTTCTTGGAGCATCTCTAGCAGTGTAATATTTTTTGTTCAATTTTAGCACAACCAAAGTGCTCTTTAAACATTTTTACCACAAGCTACTCTATTAGTTTGTAATATTTATTGTCCTAAAATAGCACAGGTAGTGTAGTATTTTTTGTGTTATCAACCACCATTTTTTTTATTTATTTAAATAATGGTTCAATTCATTAATTTAAGTTTACAAAATAAATAAATGGGTTTCGTGCATTGATATAATTTTAATCTTTGCATTTGATTTGTTTTATGTTTAATTACACTTTTGGTCCCTAAAGTATGTGCTTTGTGTCATTTTGGTCTCCAACGTTTAGATTGTGTCAATTTTATCCCCAAAGCATCAAATGTGTATTAAAGTGGTCCTCATGAAGAAGGTTAATAATACTTTTGGTCCCCAATATTTTAATTTTGTCAATATCTAGAGGCTTGATTTTTTATTTCCTGAGATGTATTTTTCTGTACAAAAAATATCTGTAATTATGATGGTGTCAACTATGGGGATCACTTTAACCCACATTTAATACTTTGGGGATGAAAGTAACACGGTTGAAATATTAGGGACCAATATTGTTAGCATATTAGCCGAAAGTCACTAGGGTCTGTAATCATTATGTCCTCAGGGATCATCTTGTAATTGTCTTCCTTGTAAACCCTAAATCTTCATTTATAAATAAGGGGTGATATCTCATGATACCCTAAGCTGGTTACTCAAGCTTCATGGTATCAGAGCTAAACCTATAGGGTTTCGGCTCACCCTCGTTGGTAGACCTTTTCACCAACGACACTCTAGGGTTCGAAGCTTACCTGGGTGGATCATCACTCAGCCGTCTTCCACAGTCGATCTCCTCAGCCGTCTTCCTCACCTCGTCGATCTCCTCGTCTTCCTCTGTCGATCGTCACTCAGCCGTCAGCTCCTCAGCTCGGCGATCTCCTCCCGCCATTCGTCGCTCATCTTCATCACCCTCCTCTTCCTCTGGCGTCTTCGTCACTCGTCGTCGTCGTCCTCAGCCTCTGCCTCACGGTGGTATGATCTCCCTGTGGTATCTATAAATATATATATATATATATATATATACTGATACATATATATAAACATAGCCTGATATATATATTTATATATAAATACATGTATACATAAATCAATCAACTTAAAAAAATAAATAAATAAATAAATAAATAAATAATAAATAAATAAATAAATAATCGTTTCTTAATTTTGTTATGTCTTTATAGTGGTCATTGTGCCTGTTATCTCACTACCACCTTCCGGGTTTGTGATTTCCACTAGTTTTGTTGCGGGTTTGGTAGTATTGTATCCATGACAGATTCCACCAGTGTGTCCCCTTCTTCTCAAACACCAAAAAGTGAGAGTCCCATTCTACCTACTACCATGACTGAGAACCCCAACCCTAGCCTGAAAATCACCACCTCTCTATTTAATGGTCAGAACTACATAGCATGGTCTCAAAGTTTGACTATGTTTTTGAAGAGCAGAGGGAAGATGGGATATGTTGATGGCAGGATACAGGCACCTAGTACCACTGACTCAAGTTATGACCAATGGGAGATTAACAACTCTTTGATTATGAGTTGGCTTATCCATTCGATGGTTCCAGAACTTGGTGAGGGCTACTTGTCTATGGAGACTGCCCAGGACATTTGGGAGGCTGTGGCTGTTACCTATTCCCGCAAAGGAAATTTTTCACAGGCATTTGAGTTGCGTCGCTCTATTGAGAGCACACTTCAGGGGGAGCAGACTGTTCTTCAGTACTTCACTTTCCTCACCAACGGCTGGAAACGCCTTGACCACCTGGAAGACTATAAGCCCGTTTGCCCTACTGATTCTGTCGGGTACAAGAAGTTCATCGCACTGGAACGGGTCTTTAAATTTTTGGCCGGCCTAAATATGGAGTATGATCCAGTTAGGGGTCGAGTTCTAAGTATGGACACCCTTCCTTCACTCCAGGAGGCATTTGCCTATGTACAAAATGAGGAAAGTCGTCGGTCAGCTATGATGTCCCCTGTCTCTACTGACCGTTCCGCATTACTGTCTACTCCTCGAGATGGCCTCAGCCTGCCTCCTCCGTCTGCTGCTAAGGAGTCTGTATTCTGTGATTATTGCAAGAAGCCGCGGCATACTCGTGAGACATGTTGGAAGCTTCATGGGACTCCATCTGGGGGTCGAGGTGATCGGTCTGGTTCGCGAGGAGGTCGGTCAGGCCACTCTCGAGGACGTGGTTCCTATTCCCGAGCTCATCAGTCTAGTGCCGTTGATACCCTTGATTCTAATTCTACTTCTGTTACCCAAACTTCTGATACTGAGCTGGAGGATGCTTTGCGCCAATTGTTGGACCGCCGATCTTCTACTACTCTCAGTACCGCTTCCTCGTCCTTTGCCCGCTCAGGTAACTTAGCATCTGTTCCTTGTGCTTTCCTGTGTCATACATCTTTGCTAACTGTGATAAATTTGCCACTTATGTGACTAACGAAATGGCCTTTGATAGAGTCAAGTAGAAGAAGGATTCATGTAGCCGACCACATTTGATGGGACATAGAATAATTGTAGCACTTGTGTCCTTTAAACTATTGGAGAGTGTATTTAAATCCTTTATTTCATTTTGGGAGTCTTTGGAGTGGTTATGTCTTGGTTTTGGAGGAGTGCAAATAGATTTAGATTTGTTAGAATTGTTCGTTTACACTTGTTTACGTTGAAAAGTTGTCTGGGCACTTGAAATCTTGTTCTGGGGTCGACACCAGTCTTTGTGGTGTCGATACTTGCCTTTTGTTGTTGGCCTCAAGGGTTGACACTGGTCTGAGAAGTGTGACGACCTCACTACGTATGATGATTAGCACTTAATTAATTACCCATTCTTAGCTCTTAATTGCCAATTATTCTAATTTAACCTGGGATTTACGAAAATTATGGAGATTGTTTCATATATAATTCTATTGAGGATTAATTTTTGGAGTTAGAAATTGGAAGCCTAGATGGCTCAAGAAAGTACAAATGGTGAATTTAATTATTTTAATTTCGAGTATCGAACAATATGGGAATATAATTAAATATTCGATTCAGATTTGTGAAATTGAGACTTGATTAATTGGGTCCGAGTTAGAGTTAATTAAGTTCTGAGAATTGGTGAATTAAATTTATTTGTGAGGTATTCAATTGAGCGTGTAATTTATTGGCGAAGATTTTGAAATTTAATCCGAAATTGAAGACCTTAATGATTTGAGGAACCAAAATTGATGATGGAAATAAGTTTTATTTGATGTTTAGAGCCTTTTGGAAGTTTGATTAAAAATCTAATTTGGATTGATAAATTTAAATATATTTAATTAGGTTCTAATGGAAGTCAATTAGACTAATTAAATTATGTGGGATTGTCCTGATATTGCTGTTGCTGTCAGTGTAGTTAGTCAGTTTATGCATGCTCCTCATCAGATTCACTTTGAGGCTGTCATGAGAATCTTGAAGTATTTAAAGTCTGCTCCTGGTAAGGGTCTGTATTTTTCAAAGTATGATCATCTTCGTGTAGAAGCCTATACAGATGCTGACTGGGCTGGAATACATAGATTCTGGGTTAGGACAATATTTCTCTACTCATGGCATTATCCATCAGACCTCTTGTACCAATACCCCTCAACAAAATGGGGTGGCCGAACGCAAGAATCGGCATCTTCTTGACATGGCTCGGTGCATGTGTTTTTTTATGAACGTGCCTCAACCCTATTGGGGCGACGCTGTTCTCACCGCTGCTCATCTTATTAATCGTCTCCCTACCCAGGTCTTGGACAAACAGGCTCCGCTGCACGTCCTCCTCGGTTCTCAGTCCTTGTTTTCTATTCCTCCCAAAATATTTGGTTGTGTCTGTTTTGTCCATAATCACTCTCCCTCTCGTGGTAAGTTGGACCCTCGCTCCCTCAAGTGTGTTTTCCTTGGTTATTCTCCTACTCAAAAGGGGTATAAATGTTACCACCCTCCTTCCCGTAAATGGTTTGTATCCATGGATGTCACTTTCTTTGAGTCCCAGTCCTATTTCTTGTCCTCTCCGGTGTCACCGTCCTCATTTCCGGGGGAGCCTTGGTGTGAAATGAGTCCTGTGGTAGAAGTAAGTCCTGTGCCTCCTATGGTAGAACCAGTTGTTCTTGCACCCCCCTCTTCTACTGGAACTATAGAACCCACTGTCACCAATAATAAGGATGGGCATGTTTATGTCCGGGACATCGACAGAAAACAAGTTAACTGGATACAAGGGACTGTTTCTGTTACTCCACTGCCATCTCCTGCTTCTGATGAGAGTCTACGTAACTTTGAATCTCGTGAGTCCATTGATCTTGATGTTCCTATTGCCAAAAGGAAGGGTGTGAGATCTTGTACTCAACATCCTATCTCACAGTTTGTATCATACTCTCATTTGTCATCCTCATATAGAGCGTTTGTGTCCAATATTTCCTCTGTTAGCATTCCTAACCATTTTCAAGATGCTCTTGCTACCTCTGAGTGGAAACTAGCCATGATTGAGGAAATGAAAGCACTTAGGAAGAATGGCACTTGGGAATTGACTGAGTTACCTACGGGCAAACGACCTGTGGGATGTAAATGGGTATATACTGTGAAACACAAAGCAGATGGGTCTATTAAGCGTTACAAAGCAAGACTTGTGGCAAAAGGGTTTACTCAGACATATGGCATTGATTATCAGGAGACCTTCGCACCCGTGGCTAAAATGAATTCAGTCCGAGTACTTCTCTCTCTCGCAGCTAATCTTGATTGGCCGCTTTATCAGTTTGATGTCAAGAATGCTTTTCTCCATGGTGACCTCGAAGAAGAAGTATATATGGACATTCCTCCAGGATTCAGAAGGCAAAGTATGCAAACTTCGAAAGGCAAACTTCGGAAGTCATTATATGGTCTCAAACAATCTCCAAGGGCTTGGTTTAAGAGATTCACTCAGGCTATGGTTAAATATGGCTTCAAACAAAGTTAGGCAGATCACACATTGTTTGTGAAACATTCCTCACGCGGTAAGACTACAACATTTATTGTTTATGTAGATGACATAGTTCTTACAGGCAATGATAGTGGGGAAATACCTCTGTTGAAGAAATATTTAGCTCAAGAGTTTGAAATCAAAGACTTGGGAAGCTTGAAGTATTTTCTGGGAATTGAAGTTGCTCGCTCTAAGGATGGGATATTTATCTCACAAAGAAAATATGTGCTTGACCTGTTGAAGGAAACTGGGATGCTTGGCTGCAAGGCATGTGCCACCCCACTGGAACCCAATCAGAAATTGGGGGATGATGATGGAGGAGAAGTTGTAGATAGGGGGAGCTATCAACGATTAGTGGGTAAGCTCATTTACCTATCTCACTCCCGTCCTGATATTGCTGTTGCTTTCAGTGTAGTTAGTCAGTTTATGCATGCTCCTCATCAGATTCACTTTGAGGCTGTCATGAGAATCTTGAGGTATTTGAAGTCTGCTCCTGGTAAGGGTCTGTATTTTTCAAAGTATGATCATCTTCGTGTAGAAGCCTATACAGATGCTGACTGGGCTGGGTCAATAACTGATAGGAGATCAACTTCAGGGTATTGCACATTTGTTGGCGGCAACCTAGTTACTTGGAGGAGTAAGAAACAGAATGTGGTTGCCAGGTCAAGTGCAGAAGCTGAGTTTAGAGCTATGGTACAAGGTGTGTGTGAACTTTTATGGATCAAATTGTTGTTGAGTGATCTAGGTATTGATCAGACGGACTCCATGTGGTTATACTGTGACAATAAGGCCGCCATCAACATCGCTCACAATCCAGTTCAACATGACAGGACAAAACATGTTGAGATTGATCGCCACTTCATTAAGGAGAAACTCACTAATGGTACCATTTGTACTCCTTTTGTCCAGTCTGGTGAACAACTTGCTAACATTCTCACCAAGGGAATTGGGAATAAACCATTTCATGACATATTAGGCAAGCTGGGCATGAGAGATATCTTCGCATCAGCTTGAGGGGGAGTGTTAGCATATTAGCCGAAAGTCACTTAGCATATTATATTAGCCGAAAATCACTAGGGTCTGTAATCATTATGTCCTCAGGGATCATCTTGTAATTGTCTTCCTTGTAAACACTAAATCTTCATTTATAAATAAGGGGTGATATCTCATGATACCCTAAGCTGGTTACTCAAGCTTCAGTAGCTACATTATCATCCTCTCGCTTCCTCTTCCTTCTGTCATCTTAAGGGGTGATATCTCATGATACCCTAAGCTGGTTACTCAAGCTTCAAATATAACAAAACAATGCATATTTTAGGGACCAAAGTGTAATTAGCCATTTATTTTAATTTATATGTGCCAAATTAATTCACTCAATTTATCTTCACATGACATGTTGTAATTAATCATAAATTAAACTCTGACTATAAAAACATATATGTACTTTTTATCAAATTGTGTAAATTTTTTATCTATAAGTGATGGCTTAAATTTGTTTCTGCTGTTGCCTGATTCAAAGTCATATGACTGAATCAGTAAAATGCAAGATATTATAACATTTTCTAATAAACTTCATATTTGTTTCATTCATAATACTTTATATGTTGTGTTCCAGAGGATATCTATCTAGGTCATTGGTTAAAGTTATCAGATAAGCTCATTCTTGTCTAATGCTTTTCTTTTCTTTATTTATTTTTGGTAAGTAGATTTAGGTTGCTCTAAACAGATCCTAAATTAAATGTTTTTGAGCTGTAACTCATCTTGAAATCAGGAAGGATTGTTGAGTTGCTCGAAGCTTTGGAAGCTATGGCCAGAGATAAGCAACGAATCCCCCCTAGAGCAATGATTGTGAGCAGGAAATATCGGACGCTAGTTAGCTCCTGGATTGAACCTTTGCATGAAGAAGCTGAAATTGGATATGAGATTGATTATATTGCCAGGTGTGTGTTGCTGTCATTATCATCAATCAACTCGATTACTGCCCTTCAATTTATTAATTTACTTACATATGGTTTAAAGGTCTCAAGAATCTTCTACTAAAATTGTACCCTCTATTTTGCGTCTTGTTTTCATTTGTGCATCATTGTTTCAAGTTATAGTACAATTTTCATGTATAAAATAAGACAACTTTTTTTAACTTATTTTCATTCTTGAAGTTTCATAGGTTAAATATCAAATTTAGTTTTCTTGTATTGTTCTTTGTTTTTTTTTTCTCACACTTCCTCTATCTCTGTTTGTTTCTTATGCTTTTAGATTATCTAAGAAGCACAAACACTTCTACGATGGTGCCTTATCCGTGTCAGACACTAACACTCTCGGACAGGCCTAGATACGTGTCAGACACAAGTTCAAATGTGTCCTATTATTTTCTTAAATATTTTAGAACCGGGCACAATTCAAATTTGAAGAAAAAAGTAGGGATACTAGTGCCCATTAGTCAGACACATGAAACAGTTCACAAAGCAAGGATTTATAGCTTTTTATCTCTCCTCCTTTATCTTTTAGTTTTAGAAACTCTAAAGCTTGAATCTTCCAATTTGTTTGTGAATTGGATTTTTTAAGTAGATGTTATAACTTTTTTGTCCCTGCTTCTTTTCGAGTATCTATAACGTTGTAGATTATAAAGTCTATGTCTCACTTTGACTCTTTTTTTTCCACTGAATCTTCTATAATTATTAATTTGGGCCCAAAGCTAATATACAGTGCTTTATTTTATTTAATCATAGACACACTGACCTTCCAAATTCAGACATACTATGCCTTCATGAAATTAACAAGTACATATCATCTACCAGCTGCAATTGATGTTAGATGAAGCACTATCAATCATTTTTTTTATAATCTGTAATTACTAAGTAAGAGGATTTATAGAAAACTGTGTTAATTATATTAGAGCTCATATCACATGAATTTTGCATGCTATCAAATATCAGAGATTGAAACAGCATGGAGGCTGTTATGCTCAGTAAATCTATTCATGATTCTTTATCTTTTTCTTTTTTTGTCCATCCTATGTTACTGCTTGGGAGTTCTCTTATCCGTATTAATAATCTCTTCAAAATAAGGAACCTTTAATAGGAATCCATTTAGACAGTGACACAAGAGATGGGGAAAAGGGTAACATAGAGCACTTCTGTTTTCTGTTAAAAGCTATGATTAACATTGCACAACAACCAGGTACATTGCAGAAGGGGGGCTTACAGGTGAGCGCAAGAGATGGGTTCCTCGAAGAGGGAAAGCTCCTTTAGATCCTGATGCCCTTGGATTTGTTTATAACTACCCCATAGAAGCCTCCTTCAAACAAAGATGTCTTGATGATTGGAAGGTGCATCATCGGAAGCTCTTGAAAACCTTGCGCAATGAAGGACCTTCTGCTTTAGGAGTTGTATCTGAATATGATTATATCCGAGTCGAAGAGAGACTAAGGAACATTATTAAAGGGCCTGACCAAAATGCTTTAAAGCCTAAGGCTGCTAGTAAGATGATAGTATCTGAGCTGAAGGAAGAGCTAGAAGCGCAGGGTTTACCAACTGATGGAACTAGAAATGTTCTCTACCAGCGTGTCCAAAAAGCAAGGAGAATAAATCGCTCAAGAGGTCGGCCCCTTTGGGTGCCTCCCGTGGAAGAGGAAGAAGAAGAGGTTAATATCATACTTATGGTTCTTATTTCACTTCCTGTTTGATGGTCTTCTTGATGTGTATCCTAGTGATTCATGGTCTTCTACAAGTTATTTTCATTATAATTGTGACTGGAAGTTTCACTCTAATTGATATTGAATGGTAATGGGGGTTCTTTTGACAGGTTGACGAAGAGCTGGACGAATTAATTTCCAGAATAAAGCTGGAAGAAGGAAATACTGAGTTCTGGAAACGCCGTTTTCTTGGAGAAGGGTTAAATAATGATCATGACAGGCCCATTGAATTAAATAAATCAGAAGATATAGATGTCAGGGATGACACCACTGATGTTGAGGATGTTGTGAAAGAGGTTGAAGATGAAGAGGCAGATGAAGAGGAGGAGGATGTGGAGCAAACTGAAATTCAAGTAGGTGACAGGGTCAAGGACAAGGAAGTTGAAGCTGCGAAACCTCTTCAAATGATTGGGGTCCAATTGTTGAAAGATTCTGACATGACAGCGTCTACCACAAGAAAATCGAAGAAAAAACTTTCTCGAATATCAATGGAGGTAGTTCATGATGGTCTATTGTCATGTTTTTTTCCCATTGTTGGTAACATAATAAAATTGTTAGAAATGGGCATTAATCTATGAAGCACATGTACGGGTATTGGTATGGTATGGGTATGTTAATACGGTAAAATCTAAAAAAAAAGTAGGGTATGGTACAACTGGGTACGTTTGTAAAAAAATATTTATTTTTAATTTGGAGTAATGCAAAAATTAGTTAAATGATTTACTTGGTTAAGATCGAATCTACAATTCTCATTTAATTTCATAAGTAAGGTATAAACCAAAAATAGATGTCACTATATTAAATAACTTACAAACCAATGCTTAATTTTAAAATCGTACTAACCATAAAAAATAAAAATAAAAATAAAAAAAGTCCAATGAAACTAGCTTCACCTTTGTATAGAAGAAAATATTATTCCAACTGATGTACTACTTGAGTATATACTTGGTACCTTAGGGGTACGGCAAAAATTAAAAAGAGAAAATGTGGGTACGTGTTTCGTGTACCGAGTATGTATGCAGAAGTAGCATGCAAATGTAAGTATGTGGTACGGTACGACATGTTTGTTGAAATACGAGTGCTTTACAGCCTGCCCTTTTTTAGACTGCCTATTCTGGTGAATAGGCGAAAAAAAGTAAAAACTAAAATAAAAAAAAAGGTCCCCACCCCAATGTGTCGCAATGTGTCCCCAACCCAAGGGTCCCCACCCCAATGTGTCTCAACGTGTCCCCAACTCAAGGTGTCCTCAGCGTGTCCCCAACTTGTCCAACTTCTTGCGACATGTCCAAGCATGTCTACCGGTACGTGACTTCGGAGAGGTGTCCATGCTTCATAGCCCGTACTCTTTCAATGTTCAAAATCTGTTATAGTTTTTAGTGCGAAAATTGTTATCAAAGATTTACATGTCTCTTTGGTTTTCTTGGTTTATTACTTGGAGAATTGAAGCAGCATGCATATGCTTTAGTTCATGGAATGTGCAAATTTTGTTGCATGAGGCATGAATTACAATCTAAGAAGCACGGACACTTCTAAGAAGGTGACATATCCGTGTCTGTGTTGGACACCAGCACTCTTTGGTCACTTTCCCGACACGTATCTGACACTCTTCAAAACGATCGATTAGACAAAAGTGAAACTAATTATAAGTTTGAACAAAGCAACTTAAGATACAATAATAAAATAAAAATTATATAAATTTATAGGAATTAGTGTCATATTGCATTTTTATTATCTTTGAATGGTATATTCATATGCATAGTTGTCAAATTGAGATTCATATTGTGAATCGAAATGGCTTCGTACCGAATCACGAATTGAATCATGAATCGTAAAGATTCGGTCATTTTTTTTAAATTACTTAAAAACATATGTATACATATTTAGATGTTAAATATATCGTATGAATATGAAATATTTAGACTTAAATCAATGAAAATGTTATTTTGAATGATAATCACGTAGTTTAATAGGTAGAAGTTAACAAAAGTTCTTATATAAGATCACCATCTTACCTTTTTTACTTTTTAGATATTTCTTATCAACCATTCTTAATAAAGATAATAACCAAATAGACAAATTATCAATTTCTAAATTAACAATAATTAACAAGGATATTGATATTTGGACAATAAGCATACATATTTTTTTATGTAACAGTGAGCAAATAATAAGAAATAATTATTTAGAATATTTTATTTTAAAGCCTAAAACATTTTAAAAGGTATAACTGACCTCACAAATGTAATATTCAGTTTAATAAAATAGCAATAGATAATTCATAGTGTAACTTTAATCTTGAACCGAACCAAACCAAACCAAACCAGGCCTTAAGTCCCATCAAATGGGGTCGGCTACATGAATCATTCTTCTCCACACGGCCCTATCAAAGGCCATTTCGTTAGTCAAATTAAGTAGATCCATATCTCTATTTACAACGCTAACCAACGTTAATTTAGGCCTACCCCGTCCTCTAACGCTTCCATCTACCGTTACAGCATCGCATCTCTTCACTACTGCCTCTATTGGTCTCCGTTGAATATGACCAAACCATCTCAATCGATTCTCTCTCAACTTATCTTCTATCGGTGCTACTCCTATCCATTCTCGAATACACTCATTCCTAATTCTGTCTTGTCTAGTCTTGCCACACATCCACCTCAGCATTCTCATCTCAGCCACACTCATCTTATCTACATATTGTTTCTTGGTTGCCGAACACTCCGTCCCATACTACATCGTGTTAGAATATTCATTTATATATTTGTAATTATCTATTTCCTGATTTCATGCCTTAGGGCTCTCCTTGTAAGTTATGTTAATTAATATAAAAGGGAATAAATTGATATTCATTCACAAAGGTTTGATTTTACCTAAACAAACATGGTATCAGAGCCCAAACCCTAAACCCAACTTCTTCCGCCACCTTCCATCACCACTCTGAAAAAACCCATCTCCAGCCAACCTACCACCACCATTTTTCGGTCTCTCATTTAGCTATATGGGGCTTGCGCACGCTGCAGCAGGCCTTCCAGGCTCAGCCGACAGCCGTCGGAGGCCATAGAGGCCAGGACAACACCAGTCGGAGGTGACCTAGGACCAGACGACTTCCGCTAGGGCTTGCACACACAGCAGCAGGCCTTCCAGGCTCAGCCAATAACCGTCGAATGCCATCCAAGCCAGGACGAAGCCAGTCGGAGGTCACCCAGGACCAGACGCCTTTCGTCGGGGTTCACCCAGGACTAGACGACACCTTTTGGCAGTTCGACTGTCTGTTTAAGTCTAGTCGGCAGTCCCTTTGTTCCTCTGTGGCTCTCGCATGTCTCTGTGAGGTTTGGTACTGATATATTGATTGTGATACCTTAAAAAAAAAAAACAAAAACAAAAAAAACAAAAACAAAAAAAACAAAAAAAACTACTTTTGATTGAGGTTCTGGTTTCAGTATTATTTTTTAATTTATTTTTGGGTCAATAGATGGCCCCAATAATTTGATTTTCATGCTCCCATAGTGGTCTGTGATTGTCATTATTTGGTTGTTCTCTTCCTCCCATAGTTGTGATTCTGCTGGTTGTGGTTTAAATAAGTAGCATACTCAGATGGCCGAAATTACTAGTGAATCCACCACTCGTATCCAGCCACCTCAAGTGGAGAGCCTCATTATGTCTACTCAATCCGAAAACTACAATCCTAGACTCAAAATTACCACCTCGCTGTTTAAGGGTCAGAATTATCTAGTCTGGTCGTAGAGTCTGACTCTTTTTTTGAAGAGCAGGGGAAGATGGGTTATGTTGATGGAAGGGTTCAACCACCAGGTCCCAATGGTCCTGGTTATGACCAATGGGAGATTACTAACTCTTTGATTATGGGGTGGCTTATTCATTATGGGAGATTACTAACTCCTTGATTATGGGGTGGCTTATTCATTCTATGGTTCCGGATATTGGTGAAGGCTACTTGTCCATGGAAACTGCTCAGGATGTTTGGGAAGCTGTAGCTGCCACCTATTTTCGCAAGGGCAATTTTTCGCAGACCTTTGATTTGCGTCGTTCCATCGAGCGCTCCGGACAGGGGGAGCAGACTGTTCTTCAGTACTTCACATTTCTTAACAATGGCTGGAAACGTCTTGATCACCTGCGGGACTATAAACCGGTTTGCACTACTAATTCCGTTGGCTACATGAAGTTTATTGCACAGGGGAGGGTCTTCAAGTTTCTGGAAGGTCTTAATCTGGAATTTGATCCGGTTCGGAGTCGTGTCCTTGGCATGGATACTCTTCCTTCTCTTCAGGAGGCCTTTGCTTACGTACAGAATAAGGGGAGTTGTCGTTCTGCTATGATGCCAACTGCTTCTCCAGAACGCTTTGCCTTACTTTTTGTTCCTCCTCGGGATGGGACCAATCTGCCCCGTGCTTCTCCTAATCCTTCTACAAAGAACCCTTTGTTCTGTGATTACTGCCACAAGTCATGACATACTCATGAGACCTATTGGAAGCTTCATGGGGTTCCATCTGGCGGTCGAGTTGATCGGTCTGGTTCTCGCGGAGGTCGGTCCGGCCAGTCTAGAGGACGTGGCTTTAATCCACGGGCCCATCAGTCCAATGCAGTTGGCATACTTGATTCCACTCCAGCCCTAGTTGGCTTGTCCTCTGATGGGATAATTGGCTGGTCTTCTTCTGAGTTTAAGGATGTTTTGCGTCACTTGCTGGACCGCCGGTCTTCTACCACTCCTTCGGATGCATCCTCTTCTTTATTTGCCCGATCAGGTAACTTAGCCTCTCTTCCCAGTGCTTTCCTATCCCATGAGTCTGTCCCATGGATTATTGATTCTGGTGCCTCAGATCATATGTCTGGATCTTCTGATCTTTTCTCTGACTATAAGCCCTCTTCAGGACACGACAAAGTTCGCATTGCAAATGGTACTATTTCTTCTGTCTCTGGGAAAGGTTTAATTCGTGCCACTCCTATCCTTCCTCTCTCTTCAGTTTTACATGTTCCTAATTTCTCTGTTAATCTTTTATCCTTGAGTCGTATTACTCAGGATTTGAATTGTAGTGTGACTTTTTTCCCTGGTCATTGTCTTTTTCAGGACCTTATCACGGGGAGGACGATTGGCAGTGGTGAAGCAGAACATGGTCTTTATATCTTGGATCAGGCTGACAAGGTTGCACATCATTCTATACAGTCTCCAACCACCAAGGACGATTTATGGCTGTGGCATCGACGTTTTGGTCATCCCTCTTTTTATCTGCTTCAACATTTATTTCCTTCTATTTTTACCAAAAATAATGTGTCTGACTTTCAATGTGAGTCTTGTCAACTTGGCAAACAAACACGAGCTTCTTTTGCTCCTCGTATGAATAAAAGCGTAGTTTCTTTTTCTTTAATACATTATGATGTTTTGGGTCCATCTCGTGTTGCGTCATTGAAAGGCCATAGATGGTTTGTCACGTTTATTGAAGATTTTTCCCGTACTACTTGGGTGTATCTCATGAAAGAA